GTGTGTGTGTGTGTGTGTGTGTGTGTGTGTGTGTGTTTGTGTGTGTGTGTGTGTGTGTGAGTGTGTGTTAGGTTTCCTTCTGCGACCTGCTCACCTTCAGCACCTCAAAGCCTATCGGTAGATTCTCTCCTCCTCCGTTTCTCTTCCACATCCTCCTGTCCTCCTGCTGCAGGCAGATCAGCACCTCCTCCTCTTTGCCTCGCACCTCAAACATAAACTACAACAAAAAATAGTGCATTTTTGAATCATTTTGTGCTCATTTGAGCAGGTTTCTTTATTTGTACCTGTGGGTTCTGTAAAAAAGTGTCTCTGTGGTTGATGCAGCCTCCACATCGACTCCTCCGGTCCATCAGCTCCTCCTGAAATCTGTTTGTTTCTCCATCAGCGCTTCTTCCCTGTCGAGGATCGTGATTCCCTCTTTTCCCTCCCTCCCGAAGGGTCTCACCAAGCTGGGCCTCTTCTCTGTTCCCCCTTTGCTGGGTCCCTTCAGGCCTGACGTTTTTGCTCTGAGCGGTGTTGCTGTGGAGCGCTGTGGGAGGAGGTGCAGGGGACAGAGGGGGAGCCAGGACCCACTCCCCGTAGCACTTCACCTCCCTCCAGTGGGAGCTCGGCCACAGCAGGGTCCTCCCGGCCAGCCGGCACACCACCACATCTGTGAAGTAGCGACAGAAATCCTGGAAATCCATCCTGAATGAGAAGAATTCTGCATGAATTCAGCCTTAACGTCACAGAAAACATCATGTTTTTAATTCAACTTTGTCGCATTAAAAAAAAAAAAAAGACTCACCAGAACTCGCCAACATCACGAACAACGAGTCCCATCTTCTCTCTCTCAGCTCGGCTCAGTTGTTGCCACTGCTCCGACCTGCAGGAGGAGTGGAACAACAACAACAACAACAACAAAAACAATTTGGTCTTTGCCAGGTTTTCAAACTTAAAATGAACAAAAACACACAACAGATTCCACCATGATATTACTTAATAAACTAAATTTAACACAACTGATCTGATTTTCTCTATAACAGCAGCAGTTTTATCAGTTTGCTGCTCTGGAGTGGACAGGTGTGTGTAACACCTTGTCAGGGCGGAAAGACATCAGCAATGATTTTAGAGAAGCTATAGCTGCCGCCCAACGATCTGAGAAGGGTCAAAGGTCATAAACTAACTGGAGTCCATCGTCTATCATCATCTATCATTGTCTCAGCTTCTTCTTATGCTAACTTTAGCTTTTATTTTTAGATATTTTAGCTAATTTTAACTTAAAAAAGCAAAACTTAGCACAATAAGAAACTAAAGGTAACAGACACAAGTTAAAATAAGCTTACAGATGTGAAAGTGATGTAAAAATGCTAAATTAGCACTAAATAAATAAATAAATAAATAAATAAATAAATAAATAAATAAAGAATGAAAGTACAAAATAAGTTGTAATTTGTTGTAAAGTGGCCAAAACAGCTAAAATGTGCATCAAAATGGCTAAAATATTTTTGAAAATGCTAAATTTAACATAAAGAAGCAGAAGGAGCATTTTTGCTGAATTTAGCAGAAAGAAGCTGAAATGGCCCCCAAAATGTGAATTTGGCTTAAAAAGTAATTTTAGCTAATAGCAGCTAAACAATAGTTAAAACTGCAGAAAAAAGGTGAAATAAGCAGAACTGAAAGAAGCATAAAAAGCTCCAATTAGCAAAGAGAAGCTGAAAGCACAACAAAGTAACATCTAGCAGAAGAATAGCCGAAAGTAGTAGAAATTTTAGCAAGAAATATCAGAAAAAAATTGCAAAAGAAGCTAAATATAGCACAAGGAAGTTAAAAAGAGCAAAACTAGCACAATCTGTAAACCGCAGTAAAGAGTTATAAACATGTTGAAGGGTCATAGGATGCTGAAAATGGCTCCAATCATTTTGGAAAAAAATGTGGCCGAAAAAGTGAAATAGCTATAAAAGAATACAAACAGCTGAAATACCAAAAGTCATAGCTAGAATGTCCCRAAGGAGCTGAATGTTTTGATATATGAATTGTTGAAATAGCACAAAAATTGTGGAAAACAGACAAAAGAAAAAATGTGAATGCTTATGAAGTGTTCACATTAATAATTCCATTACACATTTAAAAAACAACTAATGGAAACAATAAACCCAGCTGTCAAATTGACAGGTAGAAAAAGACAGATAGACAAATAAATWAATTAATTAATTAAACGTGACAGCCCACTTTAACTTCTAAAAGTTGCATCAAAATGTAACAAACCAATTTAAAATTTTATATGTAAAAAACCAAAGTGCAAATGTGTAGGGGTCACCTCGAGTGAAGAGACAAGATTTACTGCCTCGAAGCAGGCCTCGGACAGGCCTGAAGAGAGGACAGGAACTCTGTCACAAACTGAACTCTATTTAGGCCATGAAAGGTCATCCTAACCGAACCGAATTAAGAGAACCTCTCAGTTCTCTTAATCAGATAACGGACAGAACAATCTCTTCTGTTCGTGATTCATWTGTTGTTTAACTAAGAATGTTTATGCATTTGTTAAATCATGATAATGGCTGTCACAGGAAAAGTGGAACTACTTCTTTTGTCTTATCGTGCCTTAAAGATTTATAATGGTATAAAAAATCACAGAGAATCTGATTACAATGTTTTCAGTGTGTTTTTATGTAAATCGCTGTTTTTATTTTACTGTGAACACAGTAATATAATTGCGGATTTTTCATGAGAAAATCTTTCATTTATCTGGACTAACAGAATGGTTCAGAACTGATTATAAAACAGAAATGTTACATTTAATCATAATAAATATTTTTCAGTGATTTCTCTTAGAGTCTATCAGGAGTAAGCTAAAAAGAGGTTATCATGATTGTTATGGAAATATTTATTTAACAAAGACAGAAATACGTGGTCCAAGAATGAAGG